TATATATATATATATATATATATATATATATATATATATATATATATATATATATATATATATGTATATATGTATGTATATATATGTACATTGGATTTGTATCTCTTTTAAACTCATATATTATTAGCTGGAACTTGATATTCTCCTTAATATTCAGTAGTAAACGTTCAATAATATCGTGAAAGAATTTCCATTAAGATGTTGATCCGCATCGTTGAATAATTAATGGAGAAGAGGAATTGATTCATCGAAAGTGTAAAGTCATCAGGTTCTTAGTCTTATAACAAGTGTTATAGCTTGACATAACATTTCTCGTAATATTCCATATTCATCAATTAGACAAAATCCCCGCATTCGTGAAATTTGAGATCTCTAATTGATTCGTTAGCTTTTCATAGCGATGGGTCGAACAAAAACGTATTCAGAAATGACGTTATGGAGAAAAACGGTCGTTTCTAATTTGTACTAATTGCGCATGACTTCCTATTATGGGTGTCTAGAGTATTCCTCAACGATCATGTCTGAACAAAACTTATTCGAAGTGAAGACTGCAGTCATCGTTCATTCACGTATTTGGTCGTTCTCTTTTGTCCTTTCTCCCTTCTGTCCTTTTCTCGAGACCCTGCAGCCCATGAAACGTCGCATGAGCAACAACGAACGGCGGCGGGTTTATTGGCGGCCGTAACTCGTAAACTCTGGCGCACGCCTCCGATCAGCTGATCCGTTCCATGACCCGTGAGGCGTTCAGTCTTCTACGACTAACGGCTGTTCGCTCGCGCGTCTGTATTGTCATGACTATTTTTCCCCATTATTTTATATTTTATCGGTAACTTTTTCCTAAACTTAAACTTCTCGAAGAAAAACCGATATTTTAAATGGCTCTCTCTCTCTCTCTCTCTCTCTCTCTCTCTCTCTCTCTCTGACTCTGAATAAATAAATATATATATATGTTTTTTATATATAATGTTCGTAAAATTATTGCGGATATTAAAGATACTGAAGACTCAACAAATTATAAATATTTTACGGTATAGGTTGATATTATATAATGTCTCACGTTACGATATTATGTAATGTCATCATTTCTTTCCTAGCATTAATGTATGCATGTGACATAACGATTTTATGATTTATCTCTGAAAATGATCGAGATATTAGTTTTTCACGAATATTATACATTATACATGGAAATATTCTCACGATATCAAGTTTACAAAGCATATCTCGTCCGTTCGTTCGTCCGCCTTGTCTTCCTACAAAGTTGCTGAATTGTTGTCACATGCGGTATGCTGTTCGTTGTCACGATTTATCGTTACTTTGTTGCTCATGCGACCGCCATCGACGACGTTCTGATAACTAAGATAGCGTTCGCGTGATCGGCCGTAAGTTAATCGTATGCACACATACATACTCTCGACACGATGTGCTGCGCGCGCGCACACAAGCGTGCCATACATACAAAGTAACGAAATGCGGGCGTCGTGTATAGTTTAGGCGTAGCCCAATAGATGGCGACTCCATTATCTTTGCCAGTTCGCTCGGCACCAAAGAGTACGTCGCTGTACCGTATCGCGCGGAGCTCTCCCTGCATTAGCCCGGACGATCTCCGAGGAATGACAATGTTGGCCAGGTGTCCCCCGCACAAGTGGATTTCTGCACGAGATGTTATCTCTGCCTCACGAGAGCGCAGGTTGCCGAGCATTTATTGGTCCGCATTTAATGTCTTGGATCGGTATCCACGCTTAATTAAGTCTTTGAAACATAACGGTTGTCATTATATCTACATAAATTACGAATCAAAATAAATTTAGCATTTAAAGTGACTTTTTATCAAGTCTTTGATTTCTCTGGGATAAAATATTCTATTTGTAGGAATATATTTATGGTAAAATTTGAATGAATTGTCTCAGGGGAATCGTTTATGTCCTCGTGTATAATATTTTATCCTCTTATTGCCTGTTGATTGAATAAAGTTACGCTACTGTATTGAAAGTTATTTGGGAATACAATTGTTAAATTTGTTAAATTTATTAATTTAAGCATTTTTGTAATGTTGTAGTATTAAATGAATTGAAATATTCTCAAAATTTATCTTTACGTTATTTAACTTTTATGAAGTGATGACAAAAATGTACGTGGTGGATGCAAAGAATATCAAGTTGTTCCGGATCGATATTTTACGTTACACGCGACACAAGCTCGGCTTATGAACCCTTCGACCATTTCTATCAGGACGTCAGCTATCAGTCGAGGGAACTTATTACATTTTCCGAACGATCGCTGAACATCTTCCAGTCTTCACATATTATCCATCTTTCTTACTATCTCTCTGTAGAAATTACGACATATTTTACATTAATTTTTAATATTTTCTAAAAAATGTACATATTTTTATATCTTTTATATTTCATCCAAATAATATGAAAAAAATATTTTTCTTATTAAAATCCGATAAAATTAATTTAAATAATTGTCGGCGTCCAAAAATGAATTTCTTTTATCATAACACGCCAATTAAATAATCTAGAATTGCACGTTCGGTACTGTATTTAATTTATAATTTTTCTTATTTGTTTTTTCTGGCCGCTTTATACGCGTTGATTTTATGAGAATTTTGATCTTTACTAAATAATTTATATATTTCCATATCTTAATACATAATAAATTTCTATAGTTTAAGCGATTGTAATGAAAAAGCGTACCGGATAACAGAGAAAAATAGAAAGAGACTCGAGAGGATGGAACGAAGGGAAATTCGAGAATTAGGTTGAGGTATAGCTCGAGAAATAACATTCTTCATTCACTCGGAAAAAGTGCATACTCTGGAAATAGGGATATTTAAAATAACCTTTTGCATATCGAATAAATAACTTATGTTTATATATTTTTATATCATGACTTTACTCGGGACATTATATAATTTTCATAAGTCTGAAAACTGTTTCATCAGTCTGCTGACTGTGGTACACTGCTATGTGTACATGAAGATATACTGAAATATTACGTTGTTACGCGGATGGTGGAACCATTGCAAGCATATGTTCCGTCGGATCCAACAATGTTGCATCCGGTAGTATGCAGCAGTGGTTACCCAGATCTTAAATAGAATAAGGATAGACTACTCGATTCACGCGGAATCATACTTTTATACTTTAAATATTTATTGTCTATTATTATTATTTGTCCTTTCGTTAAATTTCGTTAATTATTGCTATATCCTATCAATTACTTATCAAATATCTTGCTTTAATGTAAGATCAGCTTCTGCAGAAAAAATTTTTGAATACTTTGTGCAGTACAAATGCCAATTATCATTTTTTACGGTTTGATAGAACACGCAAGTGGCGCGCCAAAACGTTATTCATCGGACGTCTAATCGCAGTCATAAAAAGCTCCTTAACATTTTTAAGTAATATAAACCGTTGTAATATCCGAGGAACTTATTATGTTTTTCGCTTGAAAAGAAAAGTATTAAGTTAAATAAACGCCAAGTCGAATAGAAACAATTTTGTTGCATTCGTGTATACGCGAAAACGTTTATCCAGCCCATGGCTGGGTTAAAGATAGACGGATGAGTCGCGCGCTTTCGTAATCGCTTCATTCCACCAACGCGGCTTTACCGTATGCACCTTTACTGTATGCCATCCTTGCCTTATATTCCACTTTAACGCGTTTGTCTCGCTCCACATTCTGCGTCTGCAACGAAGCATAGTGTGTTCTGTTAAAAACCAAGCCGTCCAGACGCTAGAGAACGGATCTAACAACGGTTCCGCGCACCCGAGGTCCTACTTCATGTTTTTCGCACGGATAGTAGAACCGGTCCAATTATATCATCATACCACAGCGCTAGGACACCCTCGTGCATATACACATGTATATACTCACGCATTCACGAGCAACGTTGCGCACGCACGTACATACATCAGGCGTTCCATACCTCTTGACATTATAACTGGGGTGATTTATATGCATCTATGTATATTGTACGTACATTACATATATTTCGTATGCATATACAAAATGTATATGTGTAAAGTTGAAATTGTAGGAAATCCTAGTAAATAAGTGTCAAAACATATACGACGTTTGATGAACAGCTAAAGTGCATGCTGTGACATTCAGAGAGCCGCGCTCCAGGTGCGGAGTCAGTCTGCTATGCACCCTGTGCGAATTTAGTGCCCTTCATACGATAGGAGTGAAGGAGTCGAGAGTTAAGAAATTTTCTTGACGCAGTCGCATATATATTCGGTGATAACTTTGCGCAATGAATAAACACACTTTGATTTTAATAACTTGTTACATCTAAGGCGACAGAATTATTTATAACGATTGTGGATCATAGCACTTCCTAAGAGAAGAAGAATAGCGATATTGGCCACGCGTCGATACACCGGCTAATGAACTGATATATCTACCTTCGTTTCTATATATCCATCGCCCTATAATAACAACTTCCAGTAGATGTAAGAAAAAGGATTTTCTTCGTTCGAAATCTGCTCAAATGTGTCGTCGAATGAAAACAATTTATAAGTAGTGATAAATTCAGTTGCGAATCTTTGGCTTACAACATGTATTATTTTCATGAATTAATCCAAATCAAATTGTAACAAATTCTATATAAAGTCAAGAGCAGTGACAATGAAGCTTGTCTTATTAGTACTGGATTGGAATCGTCACCTTTGAGCAGGGTTTCCTTGTCGAATATTGCTAGCTAGCAGCTAGGTTGTTTATCATCGGCAAACTAATTGTGTTAAGTGATGTGGGGTTCCTCCCCATCTTCCTTGTTTCCCGCAGGTTCGCTTGCGGGAGTAGGCGTCGGGGTTGGCGTAGCAGGCATGGGTGTTGGATGTGGCAGTTCCAATCCCTTGGAATGGACGGGCCAGGTGACGGTGCGGAAGAAACGCAAGCCTTACTCGAAGTTTCAAACTCTTGAACTGGAGAAAGAGTTTCTCTTCAACGCTTATGTTTCGAAGCAGAAGCGATGGGAGCTTGCGCGTAACTTAAATCTGACCGAGCGCCAAGTTAAGATCTGGTTTCAAAATCGCCGAATGAAGAATAAGAAGAACAGTCAACGGCAGACCCAACAGCAGAATAACAACAACAACAATAACAATAGCAGCGCCAATAACGCGAATCATCACGCGGCGACCGGTAGTCATCATCATCCAAGTACCGCACACGCGCCACCTTCGAGTCACCACGTGGTTGCGCAGGCGCATCACGCGAATGGCTCCACGAAACATCATCAGTGACCCGTAGCCTTCTCTGGGGTCGTCTTCGGGCATCACCATCACAGCCACACCTCGTCCAGCAGTGGTAGCAGTCACGGAGGCAGCCATAGCAGCCTGGTAGCAGGTCACAGCCATAGCCTCCACGCGCCGCAGCCCCAGACACCGCTGCCGCCGACTCACGCGTCGTCGTCAGGAACCGTGACGCCCGCCACGGCCGTGGTCCATCCACACGCACATACGCACGCACACGCCGGTAGCCACCACCATCAGCTGACGCATGTGGCTCAACAATATCCTGCGCTCCTACATCAGACGCCTCATGGCTTGGCCGCTTAAACATATTGGACGCCCCAGAGAAAATTAGTCGAGACGCCTCAGAGAAGAAGAGAGAACGAAAGAGAGAGAGAGAGAAAGATAGGTAGAGAGAGGCAGAGAAAGAGTCGAGGCGATTCCACGAAACCGTCGATCAATATCCACGTCCACAGAAACGACGAAAAATCCTCATGGACTCTATCGAGCAGCCGTTTAAAGACTGCCTCCACTTGTAAGGAAAGATAAAGTTCGCGCGTAGTATATTATTATTAATTATTAATTATTAATTATTATTATTATGATTCTTATTCAACATCAAGCGAAAACTTCGCTATTGTATAAAAGAGGCGCGTGTGGGGCTGCTATTTTATGCAGCCCGAAGACTCTTTCCGAGTATCGGTAATCAGGTGTCGGTATTGTACGAATAATATATGTCATCATACGACACCAAGCAATCTGTCCAATTCGTAATTCGGTAGTATTTTCTCCACTTATACATACATACGTATATACATACATATATATGTTTGCAAATAGATATATGTATATGCACACATATACGTGTATGTATGTATATGTATGGATGTATATATAAAGTAAAGAGTAATTAATGTCACTTAGTGTGTCCCTGCTCCTCCCGTTGCCCCAGTTTCCCCTTTCTCACTCCAATTGCATCGTGTCGTTACTTCGTCTTATACTATCGAGCCCAGATTGCATATTGGAAATTGAAACGTATTATACACTGGACTGATCCCATCAGACGTCATTGATTTTGCAGGTAGGACTGGATGGTCCTTTGAGAATAGAGGATTGTAAAGCGGATAGTTTCTTTTGAAGGGTAAGTGGACTCACTGATCTCGTCTAAATGCATGTGTATCTCTTCTTAAATTAGCCTTTCACTTCGACATTTACGATTACGTTAGAAGTTACGATCGTATTAGAGAGTTACAGAATTTGTGTCAAGTATTTACACATAATTAATATAAAAAAGTGATGTTAGCAAAACATTTTTATGACACATCATTTATGGATAATTTAATTTTTTTATATTCCTGAAACATATGTAAAACAAAAAGCCACAATAGTTCTATTTGTTTACTATAGATAGAGAAACGCGGCATATATTTGTTTTTAATAAATGATAGTTCCGGTATTTACATTTCAGACTTTGATTTTTGACAATGAATACTATTTAGTCTAAATGTACTCGCAGTGCAGTCCACTATTGTGACATATTGCGATGTATATTATAATTATGATTCCTGACTGATGTAGAAAGAGAAAGAGAGAGAATTACTCTCTCAAAAGTTAAACGCATTCTTCCCTTATTATTCAATTATGTTCTTATTATAACAAAATAAGGAACATGGTGATTTTCGAAGTTAGCGTAAAAGACGAACGCATCCAAAAAATTAGATAGCTATGTCCACAGTGTCGTACTAATCGCCTACCAAGGATTGCAAACTAGTACCTATAATTCTTACTGTATGTAAAAAAAAAAACGATTTATGTTAAAAGCATAAATAGTAGTCGGACTAGTAAGTGGTCGATTGTACCATTCTAGGCTGAGTTTGGGAACTTCATGAAAACTACGGTGTTATGCAGGGTCAAAATTGTACGCTCACTTCTTGCCGTGAAAGAAACAAAAGATTGTAGTACTTAATGACATGAGTCGAATCTTCGTGTTTAAAGAATATGAGTTTTCATACTATTGGATGTCTGAATATCTGTCGACAAAAACTGAAAATGATACTGATAACTAACATATAGTCGATTGTTAATATTTTCTTAATATTAAGGATTCGTAAATGAGAGATCAGTTGTCGTATTTTTATTGATTGTGTATTTTATGTCTTTTTTTTACAAGTAGACTTAAAATATATACAAGTAATACATTTTTATATATGTGGAATATTATATATTAACAAAATTTACAAATATGTAAATTTTGTTAATTCATATATTTAACAATATATCAACTTACACAAACATATATATAAACGCACGCACGCGTTTATACGCGTGCGTATGACGTCTAGTAAATGTCACGGTTGTTGATCTCTGGAAATCCAGTGGACGTAGCAGCCTGTAGATGTCTTTTCCGGTTGTTCTACACTTTTCGTTTAAAACCCATGCTCACGTCTTTCACGACGAGAAAAAAAAGTAAGAAGAAACCGATCTCGTATGAACGAAGTCCTAAGCACGGCCAGAATACAGGCAGATAATACTTTTTAATCAGAACATCAGCGAGTATATAAGTAATTTAATCAGATGTTTAATGCAAATTAGGAAAAAAACTACCCCAATGGATCTCTATTCTAAGGTGCAACATTATTTAAATTATAAGGGACTGCCGAGAGTCTGCGTGAATGGCTACTATATATTATATATGCATATTTTGTGGCCCTTCTGTGTGTGCGTGCGTGCTTGTTTGTGTATATGTGTGTACGTATGTGTGTGTATGTGTGTGTGTGTGTACGCTTGGTATATATGCGCACGTGAATATGCAGGTGGATGCTAACATGTGTATATGTGTGTAACTGGACGCACGCACATGTATGATGCGTGTATGTATGTTCTGTCATGTACGAACGTGTCACGGTTGTGGGTATAAACATAGTATGAAGTGAAAAGAAAGTACACGCTATATGCACGGAAAATCGATAGGGAGAGAGAGACAGATATGCAGAGAGATAAGGGGGATAGAAATGAGAACAAAAATGAGGAAAGAAGGATTGGAAAATCAAGAAAAGAATAGAAGAAAAATGAGTAAGTATGAGTGTATATGTGTATGTATGTGACAGAAAGAGAGAGAGAGAGAGGAGAAAGAGAGAGGGAGAGAGAGAGAGAGAGAGAGAGAGAGAGAGAGAGAGAGAGAGAGAGAGAGAGAGAG